AATAGGAACACTGAGACTGTATCCAAAAGGATAGTTGGACAAGATTTAAAAAAACATCATGTCTCACGAGTGAATAAGTTCAATATCCAACTACAATCTCCAAAACATTAAATTTTCTGTTATTACATTTTCTTCGTTTTCCTTTTGACCCTATTTCATGTAGCTAAGTTAACCTGGCTCCAGGATTATGAAACACATTTCAAGTTAAGTAAAATTTTCAGTCACCTGTAAGAAGTTAATTGTCAACTTGATCTATAAATTTGAAGATAACACTTTGGTTAAGCAATATTTTAAAAAAAAATCTGACTTCTACAACAACATCTCCATACATAAAGATTTTGAATTAAGCTTAAGATTTTCATGATCCCAGGGAATGGCAGTTATTTTTACACTGAGAAACATTTTCATAATGTTAAAATAATACGTATCTTTGAAAAAATCAATTTTATTCAATGATAAATTTCAATATTTATGTTGAGTGTTGACTAATGTCTTTCATATAAATTGTAAGGCCATTATTTTCATACTGAATTAACTGTGGAATTCTCCGTTTACCCGATCATGACAAGGAGCACACAGCGGGTGTGAAAGGTCGACAGGGGATGCTTACTCCTCCATGGTACCTGATCCCACCTCTGATGCTTTTATAGGTCCGTGTTTGCTCTGTTCACAGTTTGTATTGTTTCAATGAATTTTTGAGCATGATTACTGTTCGTTATCTTTATATTTTATGTAATAAAATGAGGTATTTGGTTATTGATAAGAATACGCTAAAAAAAAAAAAATAAGGTTTAGGAGAAATTAGCGACAAACTATACAATTTATTATTTTTGACTACATGAGAAGTGTGAATAATGGATGTAGATGAGTGAGTGAGAACGTATTTCATAGATGTAAAAATGTACAATTTCTTTATTAATTACCATAAAGATATAAATAAAAAAATATATACTTTTTTCAATATCTAACTTGACCAATTAACCTAACTAGTAGGTTATTACTTAATTTAATAATAACCTACAATTTTTTAGCCTTATAAATTCAGCATGAATTAATGGCTTTGATCATTATTATCTTCCCTTGAAAAAAAAAAGGCGTGACTTTCTATTTGACCAAATTTCAATCCTCTCTACTGTCATGTTGTAAATTTTAAATTTACCAGGTGGCAGTAAATACAAAATATACAACCCGGTAAATTTAAAACTTACAACATGACACTACCCAAGGATGTTTTGTTGCGAGTTTTGTTGACATTTGCCCATTGATTCCAAAGAAGAAGTCGAAATTTTGAAAAATGTGCAGACGCCGAAAAAAAAATGTGTTCAGAAAAGCTCGCTTGAGCTATCATCTCAGGTGCATGAGCTAAAAAAAATATAGACCTCTGACATGTAGATCACCTAAACTACATGCATGTACAGTCAGTAACTTTTTCTCGTCTGTTAGGTTAGTGACAAATAATTATTGGTAAATAAACTCCCCTTTTCACTATCTATTCGGATAAAAAAAAATCCAGCTAATTGTTCTTAAGCACTGATAACTCCTACATAGTGGGTAATCAGTTGTATTCTTCCAATAAACAAAAAATCAAAACAATCTACAAACGTCGTGTTCCTTTATTCGCTAGCCGAGATTAGTGTACATAGATCCTGTTGTTTACCTTTAATCATTCACGAGCTGTGCAGTCTTATGTCTGAACGGTGCAAAATGAATATGAAACATAGAAAAAAAATCAATGTCTAGTGGTTCCGTTTTAGATTTCCTGTCTGCTTTGGTCTCTTCACAAACAATACAACTGAAACTTCGTAAATTCAGCATATTAAGAAATCGTAATTTTCTATCACATTTTTATCTTATGTGCCCATATGATTAAATGATTTGCACACTCAATACAACACATCCAAAGGAAACAAGCAGGACAAAATCAAATATTAATCATGATTACACATGTACTGTATCTGATGGAATGTAAAGATCTATAAATCAGAAAAGAGAATTCTAGAAAGTCAATTTGAATGAACAGGCAAGTAAATAAATAGGTTTGTTTCCTGGAGCTATTAGAATATATGTACCTCATTAACGGTGCTACACCATATAGAGATGTCAATCTCCTCTATACGATCGGGTTTTTTTTTTGATCAATGTTTATAAAGCCTGTTCCAGATAGCCATGAAAACAAAATTGGCAAGATTTTTCTACCACCTAAATAATTGAGAGGTATACCGGAGTTTACTATGTTATCCAAAATATATAATTAATAATAATGAATAAATAAAAATAAATAAAAGTTAGTTACCAGCATAGGATAGAATTTGGGTTCAAAATACTTGCTTAAAAGTGTATTTAGCATTCTTTAACCAGCGACTTTACAACGATAACATAAGAATAACATATTGCGTTAGTACGTACTTAGCTGTTTCATAAATTCTTCAGGAAATTACCCATCTAGTTTGACACATCTGAAAATATCACTATTATGTGCATTAGCAAATAAATATATCGTCTGTTTGTCTTCATTTTCAGAATTTCTAAAATGCAACAAAGCTGGTCTGATGCATTTAGGCAATGCCTGCATAAAAAAGGGTTGTGGAGGTGGTCAAGTTTTCATATTTAACATGTACAACCATGGTTTGTTTATCTGATTCACTGTTCCATGTTTATGATATAAACATTTCTTATCCAGTAGAGAAGCCGAGCCAAACATCCAAGGTAACATGTTCAAGGTCCCGAAAGACACCTCTGTATGATGATCTCTATCCGATAGAGACCTTGATAAAGGGGTATTCTTTCTTAAAGACACAAAATACATAGCTTTCTATCAAATATACTTTTCTCGTGTTATCAAACCTACTTAAAGCGAAAGAAATGTACAAAAAATAAAATAAATCTGAAATACTATGAAGATTTGCTCAGAAACTTTTCACAATGGACAGAAATACTCGACTGTACTAATTTTCTGTTGTACAATACTTTATTATAAAGTTTATATTAAGGGTAACAAATGATTTAGATATCCTCCTATAGTTTCGACAAATAAATTGTGAACATTATAAACATGTAATAATTATTTACTATATGTACTTTACTCTTCCTCGAGAAATTCTTACCTTCAAGCATTTAATTTGGTCATTGGTAGCAAACATAATATCATGATATTATGAGCATTACTTTTAATAACATAAAAACTGAACAATCACTTAAACAAAAAAAAAAGGATTTGTATTAAAACAATGCATACCTTCTTCGCCCTCCATTTCAAATTTTCCTGACGGTTTCCCTAATTTCTTGCTTCCTTGGTTTCCCATTATACAGATTCACGTGTAGTTCGTATAACAACAATTAACAGCACGGCACAAGAGGGTTTTCATTCATAAACCTCCTGACATCAATAAGAGAATGCAGCAGTCGTGATCCGATCTATATATACGTCTGACTTCGCTACGGGAGATACAACCGATGCATTATACGCAGTGTTAACAGAGGCGTTTTACAATCGAATTCCCGTCGGTGATGTGACGTCATTAATTTGAAAAAAAAATTGCTTTTCTTTATTTACATTTGTTACAAATTTATATCTTTCATCAGTAATTAGTGCGTAAAACTCTTGAATTCGTTCATTTTACAATTCTTGGAGAGTCAAGAAGGTTAAAATCAGTCTTTTCAATTACAATCAGCAGAAAATATGCGTTGACATGGTCACAGAACGTTTGCATTTAATCAATCATTTCTCATGGTTATCTTTATTTCCGGAAAGCATCATGTCATAATGAAGATATCTGAATAAATTATTAAAATTGAAATTATAAAGCATTTCTTTGCTTAGATGGGAAGAACAAAAGCATGTTTGCTTACAAATGTCATAAAGGAGTGTTTTATATTCATTGACAAAATACCCAGAGAGCCAATGGGTATCCTGCAGAACGAGATAAACAAATCCAACTTTGCGTATCATAAACATTGATGTCACTAAAATTGATTTGTTGTTTTTTATCCTGTGTTTACTGGGTGGAGGGATTGTGTGGCTGCCTTATATGTGCCACATGGCATGAAGAGGACTAAGTGAGTTATACCGATCAAGTGCTTCTGTGCTCTTTATTTACAAAGCTACAAACTTTCAGTAAGGAGCGTACTAGGAACGTATACTTAGTAATTACTAGACCGATTGTCTGTATCTATGATACCGGTAATTCAGCATACCAATATCATAATCATAGACGAGTTCAGTCACCAAGGTCTCTTCCATTCCAAAACACATTGCGTATAAAAAAAAAAGGTCAACGTCCCCCAGGATACACGGTCTTATTAACACAGGTAATACAGCACAACTACTGACTACAAAACGATGGAACTTTTATCAGTGACGTATTCCTGTTCGTGCTTTTCTAAATGATATGATCGATTTTCGAAATCCGACAACAACATAATGGATAAGGAGGGTGTAAAACGGCTAATGCTGCATCTAATGCACTGAACAAGATTTAGTGAATGTTCACACGAGAAATAATACCATTCCCATACGGTTTCCTCTCCAAACTATAATCAGTGGAGTTTTCTTTCATTTTGTATAACTTCATGGATTATTTTACTATAGTATTTCATTTCTTGTGAACACAATTTTCATTATTTCATTCAATCTTTGAACCGAATTTTGAAGAAAACTTTTTTTTCCCCCCAAATTTGCAACTTCATGCAAAAAAATAAAAGGATATTTCTGTTTTATTCGTGAATACATGCAAGGTGCCTTGAAATCTTATTTCATTCAGATATCGGATTTACCAACAATATTAATCAATTTTCAGACAATTTTCTACTTGGTTTAAGTTACGATATGAGCCGGGGGAAATTTTACCCAAAAGTGTGTTTTAATGGGCTTAGGTTTGATCACTATCATACAGATTTCTTGTTTCAAGTAGTTGCAATTTCGAGGATTCATCCAATAAGATTATTTTTGGATAAATTATTATATAAAAAGTAGCATTCTGAAAGAAATTCAAAATGCCCTGTCCATCACGTGTTCCCAAATTAAAGCATTTAATATCAATAAAAATATCTTATACGTGCATTACTTGGTACATAAAGAGGTATTCTGATGGTAATACAATGTAATATCAAATGCGTCCCTGTTTGGCTTCATTTTTCACTTGTATTTAATGATCCCTTATTCTCCTTACTTGCTCTTAAAGATGCTGTAAAAGAGGCATTAAAACAAGATTAAAGAAAGGCTTATTGGAATATATGAAGTTATTTTTGTTTAAGTATTGCAGTATGAAAATCCACATGAAAAGATAGACATTTTATTGCTATATCTATTTCGTCTAAATCACAAAAGTTGTCAGTTTATTTTTAAAATCTTGACGCTACGAATATCAGCTCATAATCCTAATTCATTCCTACAATGTCTGCCAAGAGTCTTTAAAACGTTTATTTTGAACTCTTAAGACGGAAGTCCGCTCTAATCATACCTGTAATTTATTAGGTTTTCAGGTGCAATGGCGTCTAGGAGATCTACAAGTGTTGACATCTGGGATTCTTGGATTTCAAGACCACAACTCTGCATATTTTGAGCATTTTGTTTATGAATCACAACATATATTCAATATAAAAATAATGCGAATTATTACGTTTATTTTACAAAACGGGTATTTTGGTAACTACTTCAGGAGGATTTGCAATGTGCACGAATGCAACAAAAAATCAGGTGACATATATACCCTTATTTGTCCATGATATATGTAATAATCAAGATGATATATCGTAATATCCTTTGCCCGTTTGAAAATCTCAGACCTATTTATATTAAAAGAATAAAAGGGAAAAGGTATGACATGGTCTGAAATACAAAGAAAAAATACTCTTTCCTGTGTATCATACTAAAACATTTTTTTTACATATCAATTTAACAGAGTTCAGTGAAAATATTCTCTAGCTAGTCAATCCGGTGTATAATTGAAGGTTGCAAACAAATTCTTCGAACGGAAATCAAAAGACAAGTAAGGAATATGGTTGAAACAATACATGTCTATACTTGAAGTAAATCAAGCATTTCAATCCTTAAACTTTCATTTCCATCAGGTTAAAGTACCTGCTTGCTCGCAAATAAGCACCAATTCAAGGGCTTAAAGGTCTCAGAGAAAATCAGGTATGAAAGAGGGTTAATTTAAAGTTGTCTTTTTTTTTCAGAGCCATACTACTGCTTTTGATTAACAATTTCCATTCTTTACTTCTTTCCTTATACTATAAATGTCATATATTATAAGATTAATTTACGAACATATACCTGTAAGCCTTGAATAAATTCTTGAATTGTCACAGAACCCATCTTCTTCCTGTCTAAGCTGATAAACATATCTCCAAGTTTAATGTCCTTTTCGTGACTATACTGCTTGATTACTTGAAGAATATTTGAAGGAGTTATATCAGCAATATAGACTCCGAACATTTGTTCCTTCGCTGAAAATAAATGTACAAATTAAAATAAAGCATTTTCCCCTGATTTTTTTTTTCAAATAAGAAAAAACAGAAACGCTTTATCATAATTTACAAATATATGAAATATGGAGATAACGAACAGTAATCAATCTTAAAAGTCCATTGAAACAATACAAATCGGGTGGCAGATTAAACACGGACCTCTAAAAGCATCAGAGGTGGGATCAGGTGCCTTAGAGGAGTAAGCATCCTCTGTCGGTCGTCAAAACCGCCTTGTGTGCTCCTTGTCATGATCGGGAAAACGGAAAAATCTGTAGACAATTCAGTTGTAAATAATGGGCTAACAATTAGTATGAAAAACGTCAGTTAACATTCAACTTATTGATAGATTGTATTTGCTGACAAGGTCATTGTATCAACCATAGAACTTGCAAAATGTTAATTTCAAACGAGACTGTTGATATCCTTGTTTCATGAACTTGCTTGTCAATTGCTTGCCTCGTATTAGAAACTGTTTCTACGTAGAGCATTCTCTTGCTTATCAAATCAACTGGTAGACATAAACTCCATATGCAGGTGATAAGGGTATATTGCTACATAAATAAAGGAAGTTGACGATAGGAAAGTTAAAGTCATCACGTTTATCATATCTTTTTTTTGTTTTTAGGATAGCTTTAACGTCTTCTTCTAGTAAAATACCCAAATATGAAACAGATGTTTCAGACTCCGTGGTATCTTTTATTTCAAGTTCAATGGGATATATCGAGTCGACATAGAAGTAGCTATTGTTAATTGATAATACGTCGTCGATATATCTCAATGTCGCGTTGAGGGCCTGGCACATCAAGTGTTTTCTTCTTCTCGTGTAAAAGTTTTTGAAAAAATATTCTTTATATGAATACAAAAATAGGTCTGCTAATAAAGCGACGCAATTGGTATTCATAGAAATTCCGACAGATTGTTGATCTCCAAATACTACACAGATATTGTCAATCAGAAAGTCAAGCATGTATTTAATATGTTTTTAATATCAACTTCGGAGTACTTGTATGTACAATCATTATGTTTTTTAACGAAATAATATTGCAAATGACCAATGACAAGTTAAGTAAATTTACGAGTTCCTTTTTTATTGAAAAAGAAACTGTCTGTCAAAAAGCCTGGACCTTAATTTATCGGAGGGAATGGATGTACTAAGTGTTAAATAGTCGTACGTTTTGATGTTATTGATTTTAGTAAAATTTTGTGATTTCAAATTTTCTAAAAGTTCCTTGGAGTTTTTAAATATCCACATCTGATTTACACCACTTCTCGAATTTTTTGTTGCACAGTACTACTGAAGTTTCTTTTGTAAATAAAGAGCACAGAAGCACTTGATCGGTATAACTAACTTAGTCCTCTTCATGCCATGTGGCGCATATAAGAAGTATACTGAGTTAAAAAAGAGGCTTGGTAGAACATTTACTGACGCCCGGTATGTATCTTTGTTTTGTAAGGATTCTAGTTTAAGAATCCAGTATAGGTATGGTCATTCACATTCAATTTGATTGTTGAGAATATTAAAAATATTTAGAACTGACATATGATTTTGAAAAATTTCCTCCTTAGAAAGGGAGCTATGGGTATACGTTGGATTTCCACTTGCAGGATTAAATACCAGTTTCTCTAAAATACAATTCAAATTATGAGACTTACAAACAAAGCCAATATTGTTACCTGTTTATCAGATGGGACCAGTACATACTGATCGTGTAGTTTATCTAATTCTTTTTTCACTTCTGAATTATTGAACACAGAAGAATAGATGGTTTTCATATTGCCCGGCCCGGCCTCAGTCGCTTAAAGAGGTTAGCTCCTGAGCTTTTGAGCAGATTTTTGTCTTGACCTATATTTCAAAAATTCTGCATAATGGTTTAGTTTTTACAATAAATTTGGATTCTACAATGCCAATTAAACTATATTCAGTTAAAATCCCTTGATTAAATTCCATACCAAAAGCATTACGTGCAGAACTATATTTTGTGGCGGAAGTTTTTTTAGAAGAATTTTTTTTCTCTTTCGAAATATTTAAAGTATTGTTAAGTTTGGATTTCTATTTTTCCATGCAGCCTGCTCAAAAAGTTTTTCTGTGCCGTGAACTGTTTTGTGCTGGTCCTTAAGCTATATATTAAATAAACTATTATGAATTCTATCATTATATTTGACAAATATAGCAAATATATTGTGAAAATCAAGGAAAAAAGATATCCCCAATTTCAGCTTAAAATTAGCATTATTTTAGTAATATCTAAAAATAAACATCACAGACCCCAATTTTAAATTTTATTTTCCGAATATTTAAGATACTTTCAACCATTATTCTTCAATTCATTAAAATGTCATTACTTTCAAATGATTTTTTTGCTTGAATTTTTAATGCCAGAAAAATGACATTTTTTGAGTGCAGAAAGGTCAAATAATTGACCACGCGAAGTAATTTGAAACTTTTTTGTTGTCACAAATTTTAATGTGTCTATTCAAGATGAAATAAGACTGTGTTTGTGCCCATATATTATTTGAATAGAAAAATATTAGAGGAAAAACTTTAAAAATTACTTTTTGTTTTAGACGTAATTACAGTGCAAAAAGATCATAATTAATGCTTCGTAGCAGCAAAAGAAATGCATTGAGCCCCATTTTTTTTGTTTTGATTTTTAAATAAGCTTTGTGTGTAGACTCTAAAAATATACTTGATAAAAAAATTCTCATTACTTTTGATGACAGTATCCAACCTCCTTAATGCGAGATTTCAACATCTATCTGATACTTGTAATGTCTTCTTTTTTTTAATAAAAAGTAACATTTGTTGTCCGTTGGACAAGTGAATATTTTAGTTAATGTCGAGCCCTGGTAAACAATGATTTATCATTAAATTTATTGATAAGAATAGAAATTAATTATTTTAACATGTTTTAAAAACACTCCTGGTTTACAAATTTCTTTCTCATCTCGAAAATTATTTATGTTTTAAACAATAATCATTTACATATTTATAAATACATGCATTTAAATTAATAACTGATAACACACCCTACTCTTTGATGTATTACAAGTTGAACATGCCTTTTCCATGTAAAACCATACGTTTGGTACAGGATTTAATAACTTTTTCTTATGAAATAATTTCATGGAATCTTGTATAATACGGACTGATCAGTTCTACAACCTCGCCATTGGGATTTCTAGTGTTGTCAGCCAATGCTCTCGAAATACAAAAGGCGCCATTGTCTTCCTAATTTCCTGTGCGGTGTAGTCATTAGTCTACTGAAAGCCTATGCATTCATTAGTAACACATGAGAAAATAACCATTGACTATAGTGAGAAATAGATTACTACAGCTTCTCTTGCCAATTGATTGGCTGGTAAATTTCCCACACACACTTTTAATAACCCAGAAACAAGGAACGGCTCACGGCGGTTTTTCTCTCACGGGGATAGAACATTGTGTAAATTAGGGAAGAATGACGGTACAATTTTTTTCCAATTGAAGCTCTTGGAAATAGCTTGCTTCCGAAACCAAATCTATTAACTGCGCTGTTGCATGACTTAGTAGGATGTACATCTACATCTGTCGAACTGTTCATGTATTTGTGGTTTTTATGGATTGCCTTTGCGTTGCAGTTACCTTTTTTGGGTTTGACTTTAATTACGTAATCACTTAGAACAACACCATGTGTAACCTGAAGCTCTTTGGTTTCCTCCAGAACTTGCTTCAATTCTCTGAACTCCTTGTCAACTTCTATGCCCTAGAAATTAAAAAAAAAACAAAACAATCAGATTCTGTATGCATGTAGGTATAGGGAGGAGGTACAAACCTTTAAAAACATGAAAAAATCTCAATATCAAAATAAAGTTACCAATTCTACCTGTATATTATCGTATGTAACAGACTTACCGACAGATCTAACTGCGTAATCACACAGTGCTCGCAGCCCACCCCCTTTAGGATGTCTTTGGCTCCTTCAACCCCAAAAGGATTGTGCCCTATCTAAATAGAGCTGTACATGTATACATGTGTATCGTTAATCAAGCGTCAGAATGCTTTATTTTCTTGACAAATCATGTAAAATTTACGATTTTATTAAACATTTTTTTTTATTCAAAGAAGCACGTATAGTCTGTCATTGCTTGTGTCTTGTGTTGTTTGTTCAAGGATTTTGCTACTAAGAAGCGAAAGAACAAGGGATTAAATCCATGAGCCACTTGTTAAGGAAAATTATAAAATACGGATCTCTGACAATTTTACTTTTAACCTTAATTTAGAACCTAATTTACATAAAAATAACTGTTTGAAGCTGGCAAAGACATTGAAATCTTGTTAGTCAACTAAACACAAGTTGAGTAAACACAAAATTTTGTCTATTTCTTGAACCATAACGTTTTTCTATTGCAAGCTGGAGTCATGGATCATTGTCTATTTCTTGGACATTAACTTATTCTATTGCAAGCTGGAGTCGAGGATCACTGTTTATTTCTTGTCTTGGACTTAAGTCTGTTGCAAGCAGAAGTCAAGAATCAATGTCTGTTTCTTGAACATTAACTTATTCTTTTCGAGCTGGAGTCATGAATCAATGTCTATTTCTTGGACATAAACTTATTCTATTGCAAGCTGGAGTCATGAATCAATGTCTATTTCTTGGACATTAACTTATTCTTTTCGAGCTCGAGTCATGAATCAATGTCTATTTCTTGGACATTAACTTATTCTATTGCAAAGATTAGTTAAGGATCAATGTCTATTTCTTAGACATTAACTTACTAAAAAGTTTCTACTGCAAGCTGGAGTAAAGGGTTACTGTTCGCTCAAAAGGTAATACACATAAAAGAGCCGTCACTTAAGCTGTAATAGACCTGATGGTTCTAGGCATTTCTAAATGACTTTACCTCTCTAATAAACAAATTTATTATTCAGTTAAAAAAAACTTTTTCCCTATCAATGAATATCTTGTATGTTTGTGATCAAAATGACCCTTAAGTATGACAAAGGACAAAGATTACAAGAATGGAACTAATGATTTTTTATTTACATTGTACTACGAACGTTTTTAATAATGTTTAGGTTCAAGATAAGAAGAATTGGAGTATGAAACGTGGTCTATATATTATGTAAAAAAAAAAAAATAATAAAGGGTGTCTTCAACCAGCTGGAATTTATTTCTTTTTAATGAGTATTTGAATATTATTTGTGTCTCTAGTGCTATACTGGTTTATTTTAAAATGTAACGTAATTTTTGGAAGTAAAACAGCTAAATGATAATGAATTAGATTACCCTTAGAGTTCGCAGAGCATCGTTCTGATCAAGCGCCTTGCCGATCGCAGTTGCTCCTGTTTTAGAAATTCGGTTATAGCTTATATCCATCACGTAAAGCGTTATGCTTCTCTTTAAGATCTCTGCTACAGCGAGCGCCCCCTCGTCTCCAAAACCGTTCATGGACAAATTAATCTCTTTCAGTCTGCAATTGCTCTACAAGAAACATAAGTCAAACTCTTAATTTCCTTGCATTTGGTACAACATATAAACTTAGCTTGTTTAGAGGCATGAAAAAGAAGTTGTAGAGAAAGCAGAGTTTATTTCGAATGATTAGTGAAATTAAAAAAAAACCTTCAGAAAGTATTTCTATTTTTTCTCCATTTTGCAATCAAAGTCTTTAGAAAGGCGTTTACCCAGATCCCTTCACAAAGTTTAAGAGTGCTGCCTCGTCTAAAGAAGTTCCAGCTCAAGTCTAATTCTTCTATTGTCTCGTTCTCAGCTGAAATTAAATTAACTTCAGTCATTTATTTTCCGATTTTTTTTTAAAATTTCCTTTGGTATAAAAGAACAGATGTAATAGAAATGTCATTGGGATATCTATCACAATAGGATCCAAGAATGCTTTAAGGAGGGATTTCCTATATTAAAAAAATGAATGAAATTTTCATAGATTCGAGAAGACAATATCACTAAGTGATGGTATCGATTTGATTAAATTTGACCGTTTTATTATAGAAGCAACAAGGTCAGGTCAAGGTCATTATCTTTTTCCTTGACATTGAGAATAGAAAAAAATACTGTTGCCATACAATCATGTGATGCCTACCTTTATTTCAAAAGATTTTTTTTCTTTACCATATAGGGTATATCAGATGATACTACCAAATTGACATAAATAATTTAACTAAAATAGATATATATGCTAATCCGAATTTCCTCTATTTTCCTTAAATTTAAGGGAAAATTGGTTATTATTACATGCTTCGTATATTTAATTTTTTTCTTATTTTCACATACAGTAAAGTAGTCAGATACATGTAAAGATACAAAATGATAGAAAAAAAAAAAGATTTGACCATTTATTTTGATTTTTGCTAAAATCTGTTCTTTGATTGGGCCAAAAGCTAACAAGATTGTAGTTTGTTAGGAAAATCATATTTATTTGATATATCTTAAAACTTTAGTTCATTATTATTAATTTTGGTTACAAATAGAAAATTTCTTTAAGTCTTTTATTGTTTAAAAATTTTAATTACATTCATTGTTTTGTAGTAATTTTGAGAAGCAGAAAAGGAGATATTTTCATACGTCGCCGTTCCGCCAAAAATATAGTCCCTGCTAAACTTTCAAACTCAGTTTACCATTTCTAAAATTCTGCATCATTTTTAAGTTCTAACATTAAATCTGGATTCTACAATGCAAATTAAACTATATTCGATGAAAAAACAGCGATTAAATTCCATTCAAATAGGATTAAGTCAGGGACTATATTTTGTGGCGGAAGGTTTTTTAGAAGAAAATGATCAATTTTTTCCTTTTGAAATATATGCAGTACTGTTAAGTTTAGATTCTTATTTTTCCATGCTGGTTGCAGAGGTGTTTTTTGCTGTGAAATATTTAATTCTCGTTCTGAAATATCTATCAAATTATTTCTTTTGAATTCTTTCATTATATTTTGACAAATATAGTAAATATATTCTGAAAGTCCAGGAAAAAATTGAGCCAATTTTAACATAAAATTAACTCATTTTTAGTAATATCTAAAATTTTACATCATAGACCCCCACTTTTGTTTTTCTTTTCTTAATATATAAGATAACTTTGATCAATCTGCTTAAATTCAGCAAAAGTTTAAGACTTCAAAATAATTTTCTTGCTGGTTAGATTTTTAATGCCAGAAAAATCACATTTTGTGAGTGCAGAAAGGTCAAATAATTGATTATGCGAAGCAATTTGAAACTTTTACTTAGTTACAATTTTAATGTGTCTTTTTTTTAAATAGACTAATAGTTTATTTTGCCCCATGATTTATTTGGATAAAAATATTGGGGGAAAAACGTCGAAGATGTGATTTTTGATTAAGATACAAATTTCAGTGCAAAAAGGTCATATTAAATGTACCGTAGCGCCAAAAGAAGCATATTGACCCCCATTTTTGTTTTGATTTTCAATTAAGCTATGTGTGTAGAAACTAAAAATATACTTGACAAAAAAAGTTTAAGACTTTAAATACCAGGATCCAACCTCGTTAAAGTTGTACAGTTATGAAGATGAAAGAAAAATAGGATCTTTTAAATCCCTTACATCTAAATATACAAGACATATAAGCAAATATATTTCCAAGCTATACATGTATGTTGTTTTTTATTTTTAAAAAAGAATTTTTAAGAATCAAATTCTATAACCATGAACTAGCCCAGATGCCCTTGGTCCTGAATCAACGCACATTCTCGGCTTAAAAGCAATTTTTATTACCTTGGTTCAATTTCTATTGTTTACCCATCACAATGATATACGGCCAGGGTTGTTTTCAAGGGTCATAAAATTGAGACGAAACAGTTCAATACTCGATCATTTGTAAACGTATTAATGACATGTCACAACTGCAGTATGAATGTCAAATGAATCCAGTTCCCTGATTTCACTCTTTATATTGTTACTTCTAAGAATAATTGTTATCATGAGTATTATCACTATAATGCTAATGAAGAAGTAATTGTCTTTTATTCACTATGTTACCTATTGCTTGTCCGAGAACCACAGCAGCATTGTCAGAGAATTCATTATGACTCAAATTCACATATTTAAGTCTGCTGTTCTCCTGAAAATAGTAAAGTTTATTTGATGGTTAGAATCAGAATATGTGTCCCCGAATGATCTAGTGTGCAGGAAAATAATCAATCCATGATTAATACACTTCATTATTCAGTAAATTTTAAAATTTGTTTTTTCCAACAAGACACAATTAAAAGAAACAAGCAAACGCGCGCACACTCAATGTATTTTTTGATAACATAATTTAGTATGGTGTACCCCAGGCAATTTCAACACTGTGCTCCCGCTGATTTATTTTTCTGACCCCCATGGCCATTCACCCATCTGAAATGACCCATAATGTAATGCTTAAACATAAGAATTGTTTTTCTAGCTTTGCGTGCTTTGGTCCATTAAAACTATAGAGGATCTAGCTGGCTTGCAAAAGAATGGTGGTGCATGTTAAGCGTACTTTGGTCCTGAAAAACTATATAGAGGATCTAGCTTGCTTGCAAAAGAATGGTGGTGCATAGAAAGTATTGCGTATATGAGTATTTCACTTACACTAAAAGCTTCGAAAAAGTATCCAGCGTCGCGATCAGAAAACAAATTACCTAGAAAAAGAAACACACACTGAAATGAACCATCCTAATCGCTATTTAGTACCTTACGATTATATGAGGATATAGTTTTAACCTAAGGTGCATAACTCAATATTTAATTTCAATTCTTTTTATATCTTTTATTAAATCATGGTACATAAATTCTCCCAACATACAAAAAAAAAACATATACATACAGGAACATTATACATGCATATATCAAACTCTCAAATAGAATTACATGTGTATAAATTATTATTAATCATGCATACTTTCTATAGAATTCATTTTGTAAACAAAGACAAATTTGCTAAGTTGCTTTTAGTTAAAAATATTTCAATTTAAATCAAATTAAAACAAATAGTTTGCTTCAATAATTGTAAATTATAATTCAAGTTTTTTTTAAAGATCTGAATTTGTATAACGTATACGATCGAGGAGCTGCAGGCCTAGTCTATGATTTACACTAAATATATTGGATAAGTAAGACAACATATATATATACCTACCAGAGAGATTTATCCTTTTCAGAGTTGTATTACTAGTTAGCATGTTACATAAGGCTTTGGCTCCCTTGCTACTGAGTCTGTTCTCTGAGATGTCCTAGGAGAAATTCCACAGATCAACACCGATCTAAGCCTTGTAATTGGCTTCAAATTTAATAATAAACAAGTATTGATGCATTTAAAATAGTTACGCTTTCGTAAGACAGGTGTACGATGTAGCTTGAATATTGCTTTTTCCTGCTTAAAAATATCTATTTCGGCATTAAATAGCCTGACAACAGTATGCTGTTTATCAATAATGTGAGGTAAGGAGATGGCATAGTACTAATGGTCAGGGATTTGATTAAAAACTTTTTCTTAAACAACAAAATGCTAGAAAAAAGAGCGCGCTTGACAAAATTCACGCGTGATTTTTTTTTTTCAGGCGATAAACTTTCCATATTAATTTTTCACTATGATTTTAGATGTTGATTTCCTCCTTTCATTTCTTGTGACTCTTCATTGAAATCTTGCTAGATGGTGGGTGGGTGAACATAAATTTATGTTGATATACGAAAAAATTCCAGTGACTTAGGTACATTTAATGGTCATTAATACATATAATATACAAACCAGATCTGTAATGTAACAGTTTTCTTTTAACATTCTGGCAATACTTTCGCCACCTTCTCCCTCCAGCCAATTATCCTGTAGGTCTAGCTTTACCACTGTTGTATTGTTCTGTTAGAAATGAGAAAAAATCACTCATATTTTTGGCATTATTATACATGTATGCGGAGCTATAACCTTCCTTTAAAAAAATTATTAATCTGTCGTCTATCTAAGTTTAAGCACATAATTATATATGTATATAAGTGTATAGTAAAGTACATGTACATGTATATCCTCAGAAATTTTTGTCCAATTTTATTGCCTCCGACACATAAAAAAAACAGTTACGCCCTGTTTTAAATTCATTTCACTTGCCCATTTCTTACAGTCAATAACCGAAAATATTACCGAACCGCAAATTTCTTTCAATATGGTATCTTTTTTCCGAAGATTCTGTCATCAATTTTTACCACAGAAGACATGAATGTAGGAATTTTTTAAATGACACAGTACTGAAATTGAATTCTGTATTTCTTACGCAAGCCCATTAATTCAATATAACAAATTGTCGAATTTTTTAAAACGAATTTAATTCGTGATAACAATTTTTTGAATTGGTTATAACGAATTAAATTCGTTTTATCCGTTAGGCCCCTATGACGACTTCAAAATTTTGTTATTACAGATTAAATTCGTTTAAACGAATTCTAAAATTTATCATTAAGAATTAAACGAATTCTAAAATTTGTTAAAACGAATTTAATTCCTTATAACAAATATTAGATTTCGTTTTTTAACAAAGAATGAATCTTCATAACACTGCTTTCTCGCCCCTTTTAAATGCAGAATTTTACTATAACATTGTCATATTATAGCTAAAATCTTCAAGCATAGTCTGTATAGATACTCATAAAAGATTTTTTGGGAGAGAGACTTTCAATACATACATGATATTGATTAAATAAAATCGTATACTTCACTGTAAAATCCCGGCTAAGCCATTACAGCTTTGTAGGTCATTGTATTAATTGAATGAGAAGGCGGAGCGTCTATCAAGCGTGCGATTAGTGTGAATACATTAGTGTGTGTTCGAGATGTACTAAGTTTTATGAATAACTGACACGTAAAAACCCTCTTATTTCGTGCTAGAGACCGAGAAAATATAAGCATAGATTCTTAATTAAATTATCTGGCAGGCTTTTTTTCTGCTTAACTTACGAGTTATATTTGATTTACTAAAAATTCGTTAAAATTATTTTTTTATACATTAAATACATAATGGAATCTGTAAACAGCGCGTATAACGCAGGATACACTATTTTTCATACGTTAAAAAAATTAATCCGTTTAAGCTTATTACATTTATGTGTATAATTAGAATTTATTTCAGAGCATATATATAATTTTTAAATCCGAGTGCTACAACAAAAACACGTAGGCTGTTGAATTATGATAAAAACTACACTGTGTGTACAAAAAATAAATCGTTAAGAAAATGAAAATTAAAAGGTCAGTTGAACGTCAGTATCATCGCTGGTGGATAACGAAATATCAGTGTCAGTGTACTTTGTACAGTCCAGATTGCATCGCTTTGAACAAAATCCTGTTTATTCATGCCAGACATCATTTAGGAATTCATAATTGTTGAAATCCACTCGTATACTTTTTGATTTTAACAAACTCTCTCTCCGTAGTAAGATAAATGATAATTCACTTTAAGATATTTTTAACACCCCTTTTCATTCGATTGATTTTTTTTCACTAAATAAGTTGATCGGACATGTGAAAGGACCATACAAGTGCATTTTCTTGCTTTTAAACATTATGCTCTAAAAATACCTGCGAACATGGAATTTTTTACATGATCTAAAAAACAAAATGTTTGTGAGATTTTGTGCCGATGTAAAAAGTTTTAGCATTTGCAGAGTCGTCAGAAGAAACCTGAAGCTTCCCTCTATTCAAATTAGGGGTGCATTTTGTGCAAATGTATTCATCCAGTGACTTTTTATCTGATATACAGGTCTTTTTAGCGCTCCGTATTTCAATTTCTTTCCCTCAAGGTTTCTTCAATTGGAAGTATGCATTTGTGCACTTGTAACAAACAGTTTATTTTCTAACGATATGATGAACTAGTGTTTTTCAAATAACGGTCTATAAAATTAATGACAGTTTTAATTGGAAATTTTTTTTATCTATCTTTCAAGAGTCAATGAACGTAGCGCTGATGTATATTTAGGAACAAAGGCAAATGTAATATATATATATATATATATATATATATATATATATATATATATATATATATATATATATATATATATATATATATATATATATATATATATATATATACCCACAGTAACTTAAATTTTATAATTCTGTATTTATGAGACACAGGCAGTAAGTGCAAGCTATATGCTGCAGGCCTACAATATAAAATGATAGATACCGAAAATAAAATCAAACAAAATCGACTGATATAGCGTTTAATAACAAGTAAATCAAAAATCTTAACACATCTTAAATCAAAAAGAAGTTTTATCCCAGAATTTTAATTATCCATTTGAAAATGATTTGATCATCAATAGCTCGCAGACACCCGTACACGATGTCGCATAGGTGTGGTCAAAGCGCGAAAGTGAATAGATTTGAGTCACGTGTTCAGTGCTTTGTTTTTCATGAGGTCATATGCGGGTTGAAATTTGTAAACAAGGTGCCTTTACTATGGAGACAAGTACCCGTGATTTTGCACCTTTTTGGAAAATAATAAATGAGCGCAAGACTGTTTCAATTTCATTCATGAATGTAAATGACTAGTTTAACTCTTTACATTGACCGTATTTACGACAACTTGAAACATCCCTGCGCTCCTATAAAAAATTGGCTTGGAAAATGGGTGTGAGGCCTAAAGTCTATGAGAAATTGATGTAAACAACGTACCCCTGCTATAATAATCAAATAAATACCTAATTACAGTGCAAGGAAGTAAAAATTGAAATTGAAAATAATAAACTACAATGTTTGATGGAAAGATTGAGGCAAAAATATGTAGGAAATCTTTAATTTAATTATCAGGGGGCCAGATTTGGACGTTTAAACGATTCATTCTTTGACAATTCGTTATATCGAATTCAAAAATTTTTTTTGATAGGTCCTAAATGGGCTTCCGTATAAATGTGCTTCCGTTCAATAAAATAGAAAATATTTCCAGAGGTATATTTCTCACAGTGCACAGAACAAATGGTAAAAAAATGTGAAATTAATTCTTTCATATTTTAACGTTAAAATTACCATCAGAAAAGGGTTTATTTTAATATAGTTCAAACCTATTGAGTTCTTTCTCTTTTTGTATCTTTCTTATGGACTTACAATCACCGCGCAAAAATGTTTTGAATTTCAATAGACAACTGTCACGTAGTAAAGAATTTACCGGGTAGTAGTAAATATAAAATTGTTCGAACTTAACAGGACACCTGTAATTTTTTTTTTCTAACTGTCACCTGGTTAATTTACATCACACAACCGAAGAAAAACTGAAGAAAAGGTCATGAACAGAATATTCAATGTTTTATAGTTGGATCATGAATAGGAAAGGATATTTTTATATATATATATATATATATATATATATATATATATATATATATATATATATATATATATATATATATATATATATATATATATATATATATATTTACACGACCACGGAGCATTTTGTTAAACCACCGCGGAATTATATTAAATATGTGCATACCATGAGGGGGTATGAGATTGCTTTGCCCCCCAGACTTCCTATTCCATGGTGTCTTAGTGATAAAGTACTGTCTTGCATATGTCGGAGGAAATAAGAGGAGGGAACCACGCCCAGAGTTCTACACACAGAGAGGTACTGATTACGACCCGTCACATCAAACTCCTCTTTTTCCTCTGAAATCAAATAATCAAACACAAAATAGGGTCAAACTAAAAACTTAACTCTCTCACGTTTTTGTTTTATACATGTAAATGAGTAAATTCCGTATTTTTTTTTTTCTATTTAAAACCAATCAAAATTATCTCGGCACAAATATTAGGTCCACTGCCGACTGCAAAATTAAGATATATTTATTAAAGTTAGATCTCCTCCACCAGATAAAAAAACAAAATAAATAAATTAATTAATTAATGGAAGAAGAAAATATTTTAATAATATGTAATTAGCTATTGCCAAATCACTTTTACGCCTGACAGGAGTATTTTGCAGGTCAGTATATGAGTTATTTTTCCTATACCTTCTAACTCCAGATCAGTGTCTTGGTCCTCTCCTGTATCCTGGTTTTTCTGTCGTGGAGATCCAGACTTAATTTTCTCACTTATTTCACTGAAAAAGACACGTCTACAAATCTGTAAGCTTCATCATGATATTACATGTTACACTGTTTGACAGATGTCTTGCCATCTACGTGTAATGAATTAATTAATTCTATTATTACAGTAGTTCTGTGTCATGGTCTAAAATTTTACTTACTTTCATCACTTGAGATCAGCGAGAAGATTTGAAAAATAGAAGAGAATAAAATGATTTTTTTAAAAAATAATCTTAATTACGACATGCATTTCAATATACATGTATTATGCAATATTTAAAAAAAAATCTTTGACTTGTACAGAGATCTATGTACCAAGAGAGAATTCGTAAAATATAGTTTTTGGTTAATAGGAAGAATAATTCAATTTTTAACTCAATCATCCAACAAATGTTTTGGGAAGCGAGGGTAGGGGATCCTGAGTAAATGTACACTTGTATCTGTGAGCTTCGTATAAGCAAAGTTATGGATTGAACCACTATAAAAGAAATGTTGATAATATTAATCCATATGAAGAGAAACTTTGCTAAATTTTGAAGTACATGTAGGCGTACAGTTGTATGTTATTTATTAATTTGCACGATGAAAGTTTTCCACGAATGCATTTTTCATGATGCCATAAAACGATAACACATTGCAAAATCTAGAAAATATGACATTTCTTGGAATAGATATTAGAAAGTAATAATAAGTATGGAAATTTATCACACACGGTTTACCCTGAAGGATCAATAACTCAAATAATATTTACCCCGGTAGGGGCTAGTTATGTGCGTCCTTCCAAAGTGCATCTGTTGAATTTTACATAATTGCACGTATTCCGAGAGCTCGTCAAATTTTTTTGTGCCCCCCCCCCACCCCATTGAAAATCGTTGCTACAGGCCTGGGTCGGCCTGGTGCAATTTGTGTGCTTTTTGGGGCATTCATTATATAGGTGGGACAAGCATTATTTTTTTACTCAAACAATGCAAGCTAAAAAGGACATTCATATTTTTCCCCTGTAAAATTGTAACAAAAATCAATAAAAAGGTTTAACAAAAATCAATTACAATACAAAGACCACAGAAGCCCGCGGACCCCCCCCCCCTTTTATTACTTTTTTTTTCATTACCTGTCTGGAGTAGACGCAATCTCTATACTCTCTTCTTCGATAACAGTCATCCCTATTTCCGTTGACGACATTATCGCTGTGCTCGATATGATACGTCATCAGTGCAATATGACGTTTGACGTCAAATGACGTCACAGTAACGTCCCTATTGAAAGCATTTTGTGAAAATACTAAAAAGAAAGGGGAAACAAGATGTGTTTGAGAAACACTATGCCCCTGATGGTAACACAATTCTGGAGTGGGACGTAGACTACAGTGCAAATAGTTATGGCCAATGTTAAAGTTTTTCAAATGTAGGTCAAAGGTCACAGTTGAGGTCACATGATCAAAAATTTCTGTACCAATGGAAAGGTCTTGTCATAATGAACACTCATGTCAAATATTAAAGCCTTACCCTTGACAGCGCAATAGTTATGGGCTAGGTTTAAGTTGACAACAGACAGACAGACAAACAGAGAGCTAAACAGACAAACAGACAGACAGGACAAAAACAATATACCCCCGGGATCTTTTGATTCGGGGGCATAAAACTAGATAAAACTAACTTATTTATTTAAGAATCAGCTTTTTATTTTAAACTTTTTTCAGTTTTCTGTAATCTATAAAACTGGACAACTTCTATTTTATTTATCATAGTTACACAGCACATGTATGTAGTACTCCTTTGAGTAACATTCTATTTTATTTTTTTTTAGCATCTTTAAAACTGAAAATCGAATTAGCATAGGAAACTATACTTTTTCTATTTGTTGGCAAACAAAATTTGGAGATTAAATGATATTCAGGGACAAAAAAAATCATTTTTCTTATTCTTTCTGTTCAGCAATAGGGCATTCGTCTTGTAATTTTTACAAGGTTGCTTTTTCCATCAGTCACACTGACCTAATAAATATTCTGAAATTGTTGCGACAGAAATTAATAAAATATATAAAATAAATTTTAAAATAAAATGTTCGATTGATTCCTTAAACTGGACATTGATTTATTGATTGTAGCAATGTATTTTCACATTGCTTTTTTGCCTGTTTAAGTACAATGTTTAATTATAAATTTAAAAATTAATAAAGATGGGTAAGAATGATATTTTATTAAGATTTAAATAGATTTTGATTTCAAATTCAGACAGACGGTAAATAGTAATATTCAATACAATTCCCCCCATACTTTGCGATTATATAGATCATTATATTAATAAAATAGCGATTAAAAACTTGCTCGTTTTATTGATCATGAATTGTCAAACTATTTACTGCGACATCAGAGAAAATCCATTTACATATTACTTATTGATGTTCGAAAAGAGCGTACTGGCCGCGGGTACGTGTACATTGGGTGTATGTAACAAAAGTGAATGCAATTTTTTTTTAAAGAGAGCAAAGAGTTAAAAACGAATCAATATTGTAATTGAATGGAAATTCTTTTAGCAAACAAATTCTGTTTATTCGGTTCGGTCAACTTGTGTATTTTTATTGAATTCATATTTAATTTGCGTTCGGCTTAGGCCTTAAACTAATTAAGGAGCTTTTAAAGTTGTATAAAACATTCATTATCATTGATTTTCTTTCAATTGTGCAACGAGCAGAAATTGACATTATCCGTGGACCATATATAAGCAACAAACAGTTTTTGGACTTATTGTTGTAAGTGACGAGCAGAAATCAACATTATCTGTGAACTATCTAATCATGTAGACTAGAGCAGCTTACAGTTTTGGATTTATTGTTAAACGTTGTGAATGACGAGCAGAAATTGACATTATCTGTGAACCATATACATGTAGACTGCAACAACATACAGTTTTTGACTTATTGTTGTAAACGACAGTTGCACGTTTGAGCTGTGAAGTAAATTGCAGAGGATATTGGAGCATAGAAATGTCGACAGAGCGAATGGCAAGCCGACAGGACATAATTCGAGAAAGAAACATAGCAACATGTGACTTAGCGATGCTTCTTGAGAGGAGAGGAAAACGTCAAATCGAAAAATCGCTACGACGATTGGAATTCGATGCGACATCTGCGTATGGAAAGCATGTTCGACGAATCAAGTTATTAGAGAAGGAACACAAGGAAAAGTTGTCAAACGAGACAGTCTCTAGAATGGAGAAATATTTCAAAACAAAATTTCAACCAATAGTGGGAAAAGGCGAAAATCATAAAGAAGTAAATTCACCGCATCCTTGCAATAGATCATTGGATATTAATTCACAATCGAAACTCGACATTTGTTCTGGCAAAAAATGTTTGCAATTTCCGTGCCGCAGAGAACAGACATACCACTTTATGTTTGTCACACCGCATTCCATGAAAGAAACGCGCGAATTTATCTGGCGCCAAAATACGACATTGAGTGCGCGAAATTGTGAAAATGACCAAGGAGAGGAGGATTCGCGCCCCTCCACTCCAGTTTCTTACAAAGGAAGCATGCATTTAGATGAGACAAACAATTTTAATGATAACCCGGAAAATTTTCCATCTAAATCGAATTTCACTTCACAGATCGATGTTATGATCAAAAACTGCAATCTTACTAAAAAAGAGATGTTCCTGAAAGCAACAGTTCAAAGCAAGAAAAGCGCTGTTCCAAAGAAAATTGATTCAAGTGTTAAATATGGGAAGCCATCGCCATGGCGGATATTGTTACGCCCCGTCCGACCGAGACAAAGTGAGCTTGGGAGGACTTCCGGTAGAAAGATTTTAGCATTTTGAGGACTATATAGTGTTATATGAGATTTACTCAGATGTCCATTTGTGTTGAATTCTTTCCTGTTATTTTTAAAGGCATTCAGACTACAATTTATTTATGTCAAAATAAAACAAATTATTATGTATTTTTGCAAGTAGGGTGTAATTTAGATGAAAATCATGCACACAATTAACAGTCATAACACCAAATTTTATATTTTAATAAAAATTGTGGGAAGACAATACTATAAATAGAGAAACTTTTATTTTGTGATTTCAATTGAAGACTTTTTGAAGAAAGACATAGGTACATTTAATTTTTTCTTCATTGACAAAAATAATAATTAAGGTCACAAGTTACGTTCCTCAAAAATATATAACTTTTCCCAAGAATTTCAAATTAAAATATTGCTATTTTAAGAAGTTTCCTCACTAAAAATTGGGGTACAACCAGGCATTTGTGCAAGATTCCGGAGGATGTTATTCCTATATAATCCTATACTGGAAATCACCTGAACTGCTGATATATTTTTCTGACTTATTGAAAATAGATTAAAAATCAAAAGATAGAGATGGTTATAAATATTTTTGGTATATTACAATGAAATGCAAAAACAGATATTCGAGTAACGTGTCGTCAGACCTTAAGGGCGCCGTTGGAAATCAGTAGAAAAGTTTTTTCCTGCATCTTTTAATTGAAGAATTCCTTTATAGAGATTGTTCAAGTAACTTTTAAAAAATGTACAGGGTAAATGAATTGGACATTAAAGATATGTTAAAAGGAAATACGTGCACTGTCATTCAAAATGTGTTTAAAAAGAAATGATTTTTCTTATATATTTTACATTACTTATATATTGCCAGAATACTGTATTACATATACAGTATTACATTTAATCTTAATGTCGTTCGATTTAATTCAAAGTCATTTAAGGTGAAACACATTGTAATTTTGTTCAGGATTTAAAAAATATACAGGATCTTGAACATCCAGTGAGAGACAATCAATTTATTGACATGTGGCCTAATTATTTTTTTTTCGTTTGGTAACGATTTCTGTAAGCAAATTTCTACAGAGATTAATAGCCAACTGGTTGACCCATGGCCGGTCGAATGCTGTTTGCCGAGTGATAGGTGTTACACCAGCATTTGTTCTCGCATCAATGTATAGAAGTCATATGATGTAAATGGATTTACAATTCCATATACGAGTTATAATATCAATCGGTAATATACTTTGGTTTGAATCTATACTTGATTGGGAGTTGGGGTGTTCATTAATTTCTAGTAAGTGCTTGTACACTTGACAGCTGCATGTACCCCCTTTCATCCTTAAATAGATTTATGAATCGTTTGCAATTCATTGTTTTGTTTGTTTGTGTTTTTATTTTAGTGAGATTATAGTTTCAAAGAGCAATAACACATAAGATTTAAAGATGTTTGCTGTTTAAAATTGATTTGGCCCTTAATACCGTGACCTTTTTCAAATTGATAATGTGTCAGTCAATGCTCAGCAAAATTTTACCGTGTGATTCCATGTACCCCGGTAAGTTCCAATTTAAAAAGCCAAGGCCTTCGCCAAGAGGGGGGTGGGGGTGCGATCGCAACCCTCTTTTTAAAGAAAAGTCAAAAATATCATTTCAAACAAAATAAATTCATTGTACATCTGTTTAAGGTATTGCTGTTTGATTTTATTTATTCAATATTTGAAAGAATTACTTTAAGAACGCACCAGAAACCACCAAAATTGTTCCAATTTATATACAATGTATATATTAAAAAAATCTGGTACCCCTGGCAGACCTTCCCCCGCACCCCCTTCCCCATTTCCAGAAACCTGGCAACGGCCCTGAACTCTCTATTAATTGCATACATTTCCTTATTGTAGTAATTTTGGGGTTTCAGAGCATATAGGCCTCTTCCAAGGTATTCAGTGTAAAGGTCGTAATTTTTTTTTTCTGCGATAAATAGGTCAGGTCTACGTCATCTTCTCGTCGGCAAGACGGCAAGTAAGTTATTATTGAGGTCTTTTTTTCAAACAGTGCATCTTTGTTACATTATATTTGCGCTTTATAGAAATAACACAGAATTATTCTTTTCACTGTACTTTCTTTCTTTATTCATTCATTCATTCATTTCTTTAATTGTTTATATGTATTTCTTTTTCCATTTTTTTTTTTAAATCAATGATTGGTAATTATTCAATTCTTCTGTTAATCGTAGAACGATCAACATATAAAACCAATCTGATTAAAATCAGATCCTTTGTGTAGCGATCTATGTGAGCGGATCAAAGAATCTGATTTTAATCAGATTGCATATAAAACAATAGCAAAGGACATTAAGTCTGTGCAAATATTTTTTTATTGAGAAGAGGAACTAAGAATTTACAAAACATAA